AAACTTTCCCTAGTGCTACAGGAATCTCTTGTTAATGTCTTCCATCCAATTCACCACTAGCGTTGTTTAGAAATAAGAAAAGCAAGGCCGGGCGTGGTGGTTCAAGCTTGTAATCCCAGAACTTTGGGAGGCTGAGACGGGTGGATCATGAGGTCAAGAAATCGAGACCATGGTGAAACCCCGACTCTACTAAAAATACAAAAAAAAATTAGCAGGGCATGGTGGCGCGTGCCTGTAATCCCAGCTACTCAGGAGGCTGAGGCAGGAGAATTGCCTGAACCCAGGAGGCGGAGGTTGCGGTGAGCCGAGATCGCGCCATTGCACTCCAGCCTGGGTAACAAAGAGCGAAACTCCATCTCAAAAAAAAAAAAAAAAAAGAAATAAGAAAAACAAATTTTGTAAACTCTATGATAGATCATAAAAAACCTGGAAAAGTCATCACTTATTTTCATTTTCTGAACACAAAAATAGAGAATTCTTTTCTTGAATGATCTGATTGATATGTATGCAAAAGCTCTCTTAGGAAGTTAAAAGATTCTGTCATGAGGGTACAAATGTCAGTGCACAGTCAAATGTTAAGTAGCTTATTTCTTCTGTTCTAAAAACATAAGGCCTACAATGTTACCTTACAATTTCTATTTATATCTTTCTTAAGATCAAATACAACTACCCTGGAAGTTTTTCTAATCACAATTTTTAAATCTGCGAGAAAATTTCTTCTTTGTGCAAAATTATTTTGTAGTTTTTATTTAGCTACAGTTTTATTTGCTTCCTCCAATAGAAATGCCATGTAAGAAAAGATTTTTGAGATAATTTGATACCCTCCCCCTTGAATGAGAGGAAGCCTATGGCCTACAAAGGCTGGGTTAGGAGAGGCTGAAGACTGCAACAGCCAAGCTAAAAATAACTCAGAAAAATAAACTCATTTTCACTTCAATTTTGTATTCGAAAACTAGAAGGAGAATTCTTTATCACTAAAGAGTAGTGTGACTTAAGAGAAGTATCTGAGTTAGGGCTTCAATATCATTTCTTGTCAGGATGTCCCAGTAATCCTTCTACGTAGGTGATGCTACAGTGAGGACCTAGCCTTGTGTAGCTGGGCTATGTCTACAGAATCTTGGCAGCTATTTTCACAGCTTGCCCACAGCTCAAATAAAGAGCATAAGGCAGAGAACTCAAATATCTTAATGTATATATCAACTTTTAGGCCATACTAGCACTACAGATCATTTTTTAATTTCCAAAAGGATCACAGACTTTGACAGCTTCAGTTTTAAAGTAAAGAAAAGTAGGTCTGGGGGGTTTTGGACTTTCCTTCTGAGGAATGGTAGAAGAGATCCAAAGGAACCCTTGGATCCAGAATGAAAAAAATATTTAAGAAAAATGGAGGCCCTATCTGAACAACATTTTTAGGTCACCAGGGCATCCTTCAGCAGCCTTGATCTGCCAAACTGTAAGCTCCTTGAAGGCCAAAGGGCTTTCTTACTTTTCTTTGTTTCCCTGGTGCCTACCAGAGTTCCCAGTATAGAGCTGGAACTTAGCAAATGATGTTAAAATGTGATGGTAAAAACAGATGGGAAAGCTGATCTCCAGAGGCTAGAAGGAATGGCTGTAACTAACACACAATGAAATAGTAGCTTTGTGCTGACCCAGAAATGTCCCAGTTATATACAGAGTTTTATGGTTATTTACACAACTTTAATAAAGAAATAATAGAAATAATAAATAATTTAAATTTCCCAAAGTCTCCAGGACTTCACATCTGAGAAAGAAAACAGTTTCTACACAGGCTCTTGAGTTCGTAAATAAGAAAATACTGTTGGAATGAAATGTAGCTGAGTGCAATAAAAATTCACTTTATGTTCTTCATATTTCCAAGGAAAAAAAGGTGAGGAAAAAACAAACCAGATAAAGGTAAAAACTCTCAAAAAGACTCCCCAGTTCTATATCTAGCAATGGGTCAAAAACTGAGGCAACAAGGGTTTTGAGATTTCTTATGAGAAACTCTAGTAAGAAAAATACAATGACTCATTTCATAATAATGCCCTTTCTTCCCAAAGTACACATCACAATTCCCACATCCCTAGCACATGGGCACTCTGTGCAGAGCTATTGCAACACAGGGGATCTCCCTGCACCAGAGGCCCTGAGTGGACAAGAGAAATGCCAAAAGTGACAGCAGGGACAGACCTCCCTGGCGCTGCGGTGCTTAGGGGCAGTGTGGCTGCATTGCCGTATAAAGGAGGGCGATTACTCCCTTTGTACTGCCTGATCTGGAACAGCAGTTCTTTTGTGCAACCACCTTTAAGAACTGGGGAGCTAAGTGCAGCTGGCTTCCTTGTCTACAGGTTCAAAGAATCCCTTGACAGAGTAGTTCTGAATAGACATTCCCAGATTTCCTAACAAATTGTCACTTAGACACTGAGAATCCAAAAAAGAAAAAAAAAAAAAAAAGATGAAGGAAAGGAAATGTGTGCTCCTCAAGGCTACAGCACAAGTAAGGCACCCAGGCTGTTGCTCAAGTACTAGTTCACTCCCCTGTCACTTCTGTGGCTAGAGAAGAGTGAATTAATAGTTACAGAGAAACAACTGAAGTTTATTGCCAAAGAAATCTCTCCAATATAGCTACTGCCAGCACCAATTTTCCCAGCCTTGCCCAGTCATGTGTTCCTCAGAATTGCTACCAAGAGAAAATGAAATGGATCCTGACCTTTGGTGAATATTCATGTAAAGTGATAAAATAATTCAAAGCTTGATGGAAGTCCAGGAATACTCACAGGAGCCTGACATCACTGGCTTTGGGCATTTGAAGTATAGAACAAGTGGTGAGAACGCCTTCTCTCAGGCAGAAGGCAGTTCTGGAAGGGAAGAACTGTTTATTGATCCTTAAATAGCTGAGACAGGCAGACTCTGCAGAGGTCAAATATCAATGAGAATTAAACTACAAGACACTTCTGGTGGAAGGATGGTGTAGTTGGCTTGATGGGCTATTTGTGGGAGAGGGACCTTTACTTGACCTGGGTCTTTTATTGTTTCTAGTAACAACAGGCCTGAGGAAGTGGTGGACTGGAGGACTTCGAGGAGGGGAGGTACAGAGGTGAGCAGGCGAGGCAGGGGGTGTGCAGAACTTGAGCCCAGAGATGAAGCTGTTCAGTAGTGCCAGGCTTTAGCTGACATATGTGGCTGGTAAAGTGCATATGTGAAGAGACAGAGGTGGAGTAAATGAGCAACTGAAGAGACAGAAACTGAGGACAACTAAAGACACTCAAAACAAGGAATGAGCCTCATTATGGAAATGGCATTTTCCTCCTAAGTTAACGTGCTTAACCTTGGTCATGTTATCACTGGTTATCAGAAATTTTAAAGATAAAGAAATTGAATTCACTCATGTAAAAGGCTGAGACTGGTGAGCTTTTCAGCATGAAAATTCTCAATGTTTAGGAAGCCCTCCAGATTACAGGATTTATATGACAGCTGCTATAGAAAACTTACATCTGTATAAATACCAAGGCCCCTAAGGGGGATAATATTTCATTTGTATTGAGATGTTTTAATCCCTCCTTAATAATTTAAGATAGTAAGTATTAATATTACATATCAGATACAAGATCTAATTTCTCCTGCATTTCATTTGAAAGTAATAATACTTTCTGGTACAGTTAATTGTTGTTTTCTTAAACCATAGATCAATTTCTTCCTTGTTCTGAATCAGTTAAGCTATATTATATTTTAGATGTATGCCAATGGTATTACCACTTCAGTATTTATTAGTTTATGAAGATAACTCAACATCTTGGAAATATTTCAAAAGACAAACCTAATACTTTTCACCAAATCTGCCTCGTTCATTTAATGTGTATTCCTAAGAGTCTGACTGATGGATGAAGAAGAGGAAATACGAGCCACACTTGCTGCTGCGAATGGTTTCTCTGCACAAAATGCAGTACTTTTCCTGGGTCTCTATTCACCCTTGTAGTCTCTGAAACACTCTTCCTATGTATTTACTTAAGATGAGATAAGAAGCCGGTTTTAGACGATGTGGGCCAAATTTCAGATTTCATGTGGATTAAAAAATAATAAACACCAAGGGTAATCTAATATTCCCATAAATTATTTTAGAAGCATAATAATCATGTCATACTTCATGGCCCAGTTAATGTCTGCTGGCTTTTTTTTTTCTGTTTGTTCAAAATTCAAGTCATATGTCCCTGTTTGTTAAAGATTCAACTCATACATCCAAATATATGAAAAAATGTCTGTGTAGAATTCAGGCAGACTGGACTGTGATTGCAGCAAACACACATATATGCAACAAGAAAACTCTCAAGTGTACATGTTCACCTTAAAAGACAAAGCAGTAAGCTACAATTCTGAGTAAGTTTCCTTTATCTATTTGTCTAAAGAGACAACTCCAATAAAACAGAAACAGGCCCTGTTGGAGCTTAAGACTTAGCATGAGAAAACGGAGAGAAAGAAGGAGACGAGAGAGAGCGAGAGAGAGTGAGAGAGAGCGAGAGAGAGAGAGCGAGAGAGAGAGCGAGCGAGCGAGAGAGCGAGCGAGAGAGAGAGAGAGAAAGAGAGAGAGAGAGAGAGAGAGAAAACCCTATCAGCTATGAAATAATACACTGGGGAAAAGTACTGGTTCTCATGAAAACGTCGGTAATTCACCATGGAATAAAATTTAAAAGCCACTGACCCCAATGAAAGCCTCCAGTGGAAACATGTAGATTTTGCTTCATTTCACTTAAAGACTTTCCTTTATTTCATTTAAACACTATCATAAGCACCATCACAGTTTTTGTGATGTGTTGCTTTCTCATTTAAAATTGATGTGGAAAAGGTACTGCTGATGAAAATGGTCTTCAGGAAAAGAGCAATGCACGAATTAGCCGATGTTACCATGCAAAATAGGTAGGCTTTCCTGTTCCCTTAAAACATTTTTTTACAGTAACTCAGCATTTGAGCAGACTTGTTTGTTTATAGAATTTTTTCATACTCACCAAACCTTCATTCTGACTTGCCAGAAGATCACGACTGAATGCAAGCTGACTGACACAAACCACAAATCTATCAGGGAATACATGGAGTTCTGTATAAAGTGAAGAAAAGCAAGTTAGTAAAGGCATTAAAAAGCTATAAACACAGAAATGGTTGTTCCAGATTTTTTGTTCATTTTAAGTTACTGAAATCTGCATATCCATATGAGACACACGTCTCTTCTCTCCTCCCATCCTTTCAGTGTTTGCGATCAATAGGACAGGGTGAGCACAAAGTTCCAGGGTGAGCTGAAAAGCTGCAAATTGGTCCACCTGAGCCCCAGGACCATGACATCGCAGGAAACCCCCAGGCAGAGCCTCTGCAGCCTCACCTCTGTGTCAGTCTGATGTTTTCTGATTAGAACTCCTATTTGGAAAATAGGATCAATGTTTTCAAAATGAGAATGTAAGACTTAAAGGAAGAGGAAGAATATTAAATAAAATCTAAAAATGTGACCCATCAACATTTTTACCAGTTACTTTACTTATCATGTCCTTGGTCAGCTAGTCTTAGAGAGGTCCCCCACACTCTAAGTGGGCAAACTACTAATCTGAATCAGGCTGGGAAAACAGCAGCTTCTCTTAGGAATTAATGATCCAACTATTTAGAAAATGATTAAATATACAATAAAGATGAAAAAATTACACCATAGTCATAGTAATCTATTATTGCTGCTTCTTAAAACAAAACCGCTGACTTCCCATTGGGAAAGACTGAATGAATCACTGAACTGGACTCCTCGGCATTCAATGAAAGGAATAGAAGATGGTAATGACATCTGGATCTTTCCTTCTCTCATCAGTCTGTCCATTCATCCATTTGTTCGCCAGCCTCCAGCTACCCAGGCGTGATGTCTGGAGTGATGCTTGGCTGATGCCAACAGCGTCTGTTCCAGGTGGGGGGGAAGGGGCTCTTCTCCCTTTTTCATGCTTTGTTGTACTACTTAAGTATTTTTACGATACACGTCTGATATTTGTGATAGAAATGAAGTCACTTTTCTAACAAAGAAAGCTTCCCTCTTACATGAGACCAGTTTTTTTTTTAAAAGATGGATATTACGAATCAGGTGAGTAAAGCCTTTTATGTACATTGCACACAATGGCAATGACTGAGGTAAAACGTATCTCAATCTGATGCACTGCTTGGAAGCCAAGCAAGAAGGTGTCAATTACATGGGCACAGAATTTAAACAAGTTAACACCTTACACTACTGGGCTAGCTGAAATGATCCCGAAAGGCCTAAGGAGTTGTTCTTCCAGTAACAGCTTTCACCACCACGGTCTCCTTGGCAGTCGCCCTCCCTATTCCAAGTTATCCTATTCAGAACAGTAGGTTAACAGTTATTAACAAAAAGAGCTGTACTTATCCTGCTCAAAAACCTACCATGACTCCTCAGTGCCCAACATTCAAAGTCCTCCATGATTAACGATTAACCTAGTGTTCTGGTCTTACTGCCAACTAGTCCTCCTCATGATGAAAGCCCTCATTTCAGGTGGGGCCTGGGTGTTTTTAAACTTTGACCCCTTGTGGGTATGATATCTGGCTAGATGACTAGAGATGGACCTTGAGAAGCCAGAAGAACAAAATTAGCAAAGCAATTAATATTTATTCATTAGTTCTTGACAAATCTTATTGAGATAAGTGGTAATATAGCCTGTTTATCATTTTATGAGAGAGAAAACTGAACCACAGAATTCATTATTTGTCCACCCTCCCCCTAAAAAATCGTAATATTCAAATACAACAGTTCATTAGTGGATCAGAACTGGAATTCAAAATTATCAGTTCTATCAAAAACTTCCTCTGCGTTTGCATTTCTTCCTCTGAAAGGTAACAGTGCTAGAATGGCAGTTTTTAAACATTTTGGTGCCAGGTAGTAACAGAAAGCAACTTCTCCACCGTTTTACTCTGTTTAGGTCATTATTGAGAGTTGTATTACATTAATATTTAAATAAAGATTTAGGCAATGACAGTCCTTACTATAAAGGATACAGATACAAGGTTAGTTGACTTATTTTACTAGAGAGTTGAGCAGAGTGGAAGACCTTGTTAAGAACGTAATATATTTGAGGTTCGGCATGTTGGCTCATTGCTGTAATGCCAGCACTTTGGGAGGCCAAGGAGGGAGTACAGCTTGACCCCAGGAGTTTGAGAACAGCTTCAACATAGTGAGACCCCTTCTCTACCAAAAATTAAAAAAAAAAAAAAAATTAGCCAGGTGTGGTGGCACACACCTGTGGTCCCAGCTACTTAGGAGGCTGAGGTGGGTGGTTCATTTGAGCCTGGGAGGTTGAGTCTGCAGTAAGGCATGATTGTACCATTGCATTCTAGCCTGGGTGACAGAGTGAGACCTTGTCTCAAAAACAAAACAAACAACAGCAAAAAAGAGAGTAATATATTCAAGCAGAGTTTGGAGTTAAGAAAATGCAGATGATCATGACGATTCCACAGCAATTCTCCGCACAGTTAATTTTTAAAAGTCTGTTTCATATCTTATACTCATAATGAAATCGTTCATGGAAGGTAATCTAAATTGTCTTCCTAGTGCTCAGATCAACTTGGAGAATGATCATTAGCTTCTGACTTTACTGTTGCTGGCTGGACAAGTTTGAAATCTGTCTTTAGTGGACGTCTAGACTTGGGGAAGTGACAAGGGAAAGTGGTCTCATCACACGCTTAGGGAAAGCTCTGAAAGCTGTGGGCTGGGAAAGCGCTTTCTTGTGCACACACCTGCTCCATATGCCAGGACCTTGGTGTGCACAGACAATGCTGAAGTGATTCATAGTTCAACTGTGTTGAGTCACTAAAAGAAAAGTGCTGAGATGCAGCAGGAAAGGAAAGTATGATGTGGCCCAGCTCACTGTTCTCAGATAGGCAGTAAACACAGTACAAGCTGGGAGGAAAGGAATTACGAATTTTTGGACACACACAATGACATGAAGGCAATGAAGCAAATGGGACTTTCATTCCTAATTTTCATCCCTTCTCTATCTAGGGCAAGCAGATTGTGTGAAATGTCTAACAACCCAAGAAATCAGCTTCTTACCAGCATTCTGTGAGCTCCTGATGCAGCGAAGGCGTATCCCTCTCTTGAGGAAATATGCTGTGATTTGAAAGCCATAACCTGTAAAGTGAAAGGGAATGTCACTAAGTTACAAATTTGTTTGCCACTAAATCTCTGAGACTCAGCCTGCCATCTAAGATGCACTCAATAATTATTTAGCAAATGAGCCTGGTGTGGTAGCTCACACCTGTAATCCCAACACTTTGGGAGGCTAAGGTGGGTGGATCACTTGAGGTCAGGAGTTTGAGACCAGCCTGGCCAACATGCTGATACCCTATCTCTGTTAAAAATAATAATAATAATTAAAAAAACTGGCCGGGTGCAGTGGCTCACGCCTGTAATCCCAGCACTTTGGGAGGCCGAGGCAGTGGATCACAAGGTCAGAAGATCGAGACCAGCCTGACCAACATGGTGAAACCCCGTCTCTACTAAAAATACAAAAATTTAGCCAGGCATGGTAGTGCATGCCTGTAATCCCAGCTACTGGAAAGGCTGAGACAGGAGAATCACTTGAACCTGGGAGGTGGAGGTTGTGGTGAGCCAAGATCGTGCCATTGCACTCCAGCCTGGACAACAAGAGTGAAACTCCATCTCAAAAAAAAAAAAAAAGCTATCTGGGTGAGGTGGCAGCCACCTGTAATCGCAACTACTCAGGAGTCTGAGGCAGAAGAATCATTTGAACCTGGGAGGCGGAGGTTGTAGTGAGCTAAGATCACAGCCAATGTACTCCAGCATGGGTGACAGAGTGAGACTCTGTCTCAAAAAGTAATAATAATGATAATTATTATTATTTAGCAAATGAAATAATAAAGGAATTAACAGAGGGCTTCTCTTGAGAGGCAAGGGTTAACATTATTACTATCTTGCCTCTTCCAGGAGGCCTGACTATAACACCTGGCATACTCCCTAGTCCCTGAAGTGGCTCAGTTACTTCATCTGTAAAATGAAATAAATGAGGAGGTGTAATGTGCCTGAAAATCAGGACTTTCAGATGGGATAGTAATTCAGTCGGAGCCTGTGAATAAATCATAGTCAACTTCTGATACTCACTGCTTATTAGCTCATAAAAAGAAGCAGTTCATATCTATTTCAATGTGGGTGTATTTTGCCTGTAAATAAATTAATTCAAGTATGTCAAAATCTTTACATAGAATGAGATGAAAAGAAATATGACATGAGTAAAAAAGAAATTTATCCAACTCACCAGAGTGGCCTAAGTGAATGAGAGCATTAAGTGTTGACAAGAACATAAAACAACTGGAATTCTCATACACTGCTGGCAGGAGTACAAATTGGTACAGCCACTTTGAAAAAAATGCTTGGGCATCTAAAGCTGAACTTAAGCATGGACATACAGTGTTCACAATAGCACTCTTCACAACAGTCTAAACCCGGAACCAATGCAAATAACCATCAACAGTAAATTTTTTTTAATGGGGATATAGTCACACGCTGAAATACTATATTGCCTCTAAAAATGAATGAGCTACAGTTACAGGTAATAAAAGAAATACATCTTATAAACATAATGTTACATGAAAGAAGCTTGATCCAGAAGAGAAAATGCAATCTGTGAAAATGGAGACATTATCATTCATCTTATAGGGTGGCAACAAATTTTCAGATGATTCACAGAAGGTGCCAGCACAATTCCTTCCTCTCTCCCTTTCTCCTCTCTTCTGTCTTCCCTCCAGGTATAAAACCACTTTGTTGATGACTTTCTTGAAAAAATCAAGTAAAACTGTTCCTGGTTCTCATAGTCAGCAGTCAAGTTATTTGGTAGAAGAAGCAGAAGTAAAAGGTCCCCCAGAGCGAGGTGAGGGTCCCCCTGTCAAAATGGAGCATCCAAGGGTTGCAAGAAGTAATCTCTAGAACCATTAGATTCTCTAGAGTCCATCATTATGATTGTTCTGAAATAACTTATACAAATAATACAATTAAAGAAGTTTCCACTTTCATATTCAGTATCCTTCTGACACTCCTGTAGAAGGACCCAGGACATCAGTGACCGCAGACTGGATGCTGTCTAAGCAAGCGATGGCTCCAACAGAACAATTGCTTTAGTCATGCGGATTGTGTAGTAACAGTGACAACTATTAAAGGATAATCTCCGGATTTCTGAGATAAAATATATTTTTTTCCTAACACACTTGAAAATAGATCATATTTCAGTCATGTGGCTTTCTTCTGCTTAAATGTCAAACAAAATATACAGACCACTGACATTACTCTGAGTGCTTTTTAAAAAAAAAATGTCATTTCTTAGGTCACTGAGAGAATGGAAGTCATCTCTATATCTGTTTATTTGTCCTACTGCTGAGGGAAGAAGTGGAGTCCTTAACAATTGGGGAGTCACAAACACAGCAAAAATTAAGTCTTTTTCAAGTAATAACTTATAATGTGAGCCTCTGAGCAAAAAAAATTATATATATAGTATCTAAGTTATTCTACCTTTGCTGATCTACAGTTCTAAGTGATTACGATTCAGAAGGCATGCTCAAAATTTGAAAAATCTTCTTCCTATACAAAATCTCCAGCAATAAAATGTTACTCTCGGGAAGGGGCTAAATCTGAAGTTGACCATGAAAGCTACAGTTTTGAGTCCAGGAAGCCTGGTGTCTTAAGATACCACTTGAGTGATAACTAAATCCTATTTGGACTACTGAATAATCACCTCTTAATATGACATCTTCCCCTATAGAAAAAGAAAGCAGTATAAGGCAGATTCCAAGTGATCTGCTACTGAAATTCGTAGGAGAAATCAGTTTATTGTAACCTTGCCCCCTACACCTCCCACCCACAGGACAGAATTAGGTTAAAAGGAATCATTCCTAAATGGCATCATCTTGTTATTAGTGGTTTCAATGGAAAATCTGCCCAAACGGCACCTACGAGAGAAATAGCAAGTTTACATGTAAAAAACATTTGCACCTCCTTAGTCCAAATTCCACTGGTCATATGAAACTTTACTGTTTAAAGAGAAATTAAGGAGAGATTAAACACAAAAGGTACTGTGTCAGTTCTTATGGCCAACTAAATTTGATAGGTAAACAGAAAATTGTTGCTGCTTGAAACATACTGAACTGAAATGCTTAGGAAGATGTATTTCATTTATTCATAGATAACAGGCAATGATAAAGACTACATTCTTATCTTTGCTCTTTATGAAACTGACTTCAGAGAGTTCAGTAGGCCACTGAGATTTTGTACTTACCCAGGGCTAAAGCAAAGCTCCACTACTCTCTAAAGCTAAACAGCAATTTGGCAAATAATCCTAGTGGCCTTTTGCTTTTCCTACTTGGGGCACCAGCTCCTCAGCTTGCTAACATTGGTGTTTTAAATGCAGAAAACCTGAGTCAGCAGAGCAAATGGAAATCATAAAGTGATAATCTTTTTATTTGAAAACTACTGGATGATGGTATTAAGATTATGAGGAGCTTGCAAATCACATTTCAGTATGCCTGTTTTCTTGCTGGTAATTGTCATCCTCCTAAATCTGAGAAAACTGTCTTTAGACATAGGAAGAGACTTGGGTTAGAGGGAGGAAAAGCTTTGTAATAGAAACATCTTACCACCAGGCGTTTTCAGGTATGTGCATTTCCAGAAACAATTTATATTTTTTAATTGTTTAATGTAACACAATTATCTAGTATCAGCAAGATACTTCTCCCCTGGCCTTCAAGCAGCCCAAAAAATCTCCAGTTCCTGTGCCACCATTTACACTCTGTATGTTGTAAAACGCTGTTGAACTTCTCCCTATCCTTCTATAAACAACCTCCAAAGCAGCAATGAAGCCCCAAATGAATACCTGTTACCACACTAACTTTCTTCAGGCTTACCTAACTTGTTCATCAAAAACTATTAAGTCTCTTTAAAAAAAACTGGGGAGGTGGTTGGTAATACTTATGAGAGAAAGAAAGGACAAACCAGAGTCCTGCTACTATTTTATTTCATATTCTGTCTAAAACAAGCTGCTCCAAAATGGCCCTACTAGAAATTTGCAGTCTTCATAAACAGAAAGGCAAAAATTATGACAAAAAAACTCAAATATGAGTTGAACAAATTCCATCCTGGCTTAGCAAGGCCGTAATTAGTTTCAAGCAGTACCGTGCTCCAATGAGTAATGGTTTTAAGGGAGTGGTCATTTATTTGGGTTGCTACAGTTCACAGTCCCAAGACACTGAGAGCAAATATTCAATGAGAGATTTTCCTGTAAAACTATCCAGTCTCACTTGTTTTCCGGGGGATTCATAGCCAAGGCCAGTTGAGCTTCCCCACAGCTGCCAAGGGGAGTCTGTGGTCCAGTGTATAACAGTGGGAAGCCCTCTCCCACAGCTATTACAAGACCACTCATGGAGGAGCCTGGGAAAATGCCTCTGTGTGGCCTGCTGAGCCATTAGGACCACCGGGGCAGGTGAATTCCACTTCATTGTGGACCCCGCCCACCACCTGTGTGGCTCTCTTCCATCAAAGCCTTCTCCTAAACTACAAGGCAGGCTCAGGGAGACCTACAATGCCCTCAGTACTTCTCTCCCTGAGATGACTCCTTCATTATTATCATTACTCACACAATCTGACACATTTCAAACATTCAGAAAAGTAGAAAAATAGTGTCATGAACATCCCAAAACCCACCATCTAGATTCAATAATAGTTAAGATTTTGCTGTATTTCATATACACATTTTCTAAACTCTTTAAGTAGACATCATGAAACCTTACTCCTAAACATGTAAGCATAGCTCTCGAACAATATGGAAATTTTGCTTCATTACCATGACACTATTACAACAACTGAGTATGACATGATTGATCAAATAACCAGTCTATATTCAAATTCTTCCAATGTCCCCAAATGTATATCACTGATCTGATTTTCCCTTGAATCAGATCCAACCAAAGACATGGATTTTAAGAGATATTTGCTTACATCTCCTTTAATCTAAAATAATCTCCCATTACCTCTTTAAAAAAGAACTCTGAACTTTTAAAGAGATCAGGTTAGCTGTGTTACAGAACAACCCTTTTCTAGATTTGAATTTTTTTTTTTTTTTTTAGACA